CAAAAGATATTGGGGTCGGCTAACATGAATCGATACATGATATCACAACCAAAAGGAAAAGAAGGAATAAAGATAAAAATTAAGCTATTATGAAAAGATAATATAAAAAAGATGAATATATATAAAAATGATAAAATAAAAAGGCTGCAAATAATGCATATATATAAGGATGAAAAACTAGGAAAAAAAAGATGAGGGAAAAAGATTATCAAGATCACTCCTTCACGTGAATACCCGCCCTCCACTTAGTTCTCTCCAAAGTCATGCCCTCATCCAACCCCAGAAGAAGCATATCACTTCGAACTCCCCTAACCCACGTCTGTTTGGGTCTTCCTCTCCCTCTCTTCCCTGCCTCTTCTCCACACATCTCAACTCGCCTAACAGGTGCATCACTCGGTCTTCTACGCACATGACCAAACCACCGTAGGCGCGACTCCCGCATCTTGTCTTCAATAGGTGCTACTCCCACCCTTTGTCTGATTGTCTCATTCCTCACGCGGTCTTTCCTAGTATGCCCACACATCCAACGCAGCATGCGCATCTCTGCCACACTCATCTTTTGAATGTGACATTGTTTCACCGCCCAACACTCTACGCCATACAGTAATGCAGGCCTAATTGCTGTCCTATAAAATTTACCCTTCAGTCTAGTCGGCATACCTCGGTCGCAAAGAAATCCTGACGCACTTTTCCACTTCATCCACCCTGTTCTGATTCTATGGGATACATCTCCATCTAACTCACCGTCCTTCTGAATTATGGAGCCCAAGTGACGGAACATATCGCTGACGGGTATCTCCTTACCATCCAGAGTAATTCCGCTATTACCACTACTTCTACCTCCACCAAACTTGCACTCCATGTACTCTGTCTTGCTCCGACTTAGTTTGAAGCCCATATTCTCCAATGTTTGTCGCCATACTTCCAACTTTGCTTTAAGACCTGATTGCGTCTCATCAATCAATACAATATCGTCGGCAAACATCATGCACCACGGTAAATCGTCTTGAATTGACTTCGTAAGTTCATCCATGACTATGGCAAATAAGAAAGGACTCAAGGCCGATCCTTGGTGCACTCCGATAGTAATAGGGAACTCTTCAGTCCTCCCTACACTAGTACGAACACTTGTAGTACAATCCTCATACATATCCATGATGATGCTGATATACTTGCGTGATATGCCTTTCCTAGTTAAGGCCCACCAAAGAACTTCTCGAGGTACCCTATCATATGCATTTTCTAAGTCGATGAACACCAAATGCAGATCCTTATGAGCATCTCTATACTTCTCCATAAGTTGACGAAGAAGGTGAATAGCCTCAGTTGTTGAGCGACCAGGCATAAAACCGAATTGATTCTCTGAAATCTTCACAGTCCTTCGAAGTCTTTGCTCAATCACTCGCTCCCAAAGTTTCATGGTGTGACTCATAAGCTTAATCCCTCGATAGTTGGCACATTCTTGTACATCACCTTTATTCTTAAATAAAGGGATAAGAGTACTCTTCCTTCAACTCGTTGGCATCTTGTTGTTTCTCCAAATCATGTTGAAAAAACTTGTTAACCACTCGACGCCTCTCTCTCCCAAACTTCTCCAAGCCTCGATCGGTATGCCATCTGGCCCCATTGCTCTTTTCCGTCCCATCTTCCTCAGAGCTTCTTTAACTTCCGTTGTTTGGATCCTTCTCACAAAATCACGGTTTACCATACAATCTGGTATGGACAAATCGCCGATATCTTGAGTTTTGTTCTCGTTGAATAGTGTATCAAAGTATGACCTCCACCTCTCTTTTATCTCTCCGTCGTGCATTAATATCCTCTGATCAACATCCTTCACACACTTAACTTTTGCAATATCTTGAGTTCTGCGATCACGAAGACGAGCAAGTCTATAAATATCTAGTTTTCCTTCCTTAGAGTCCAACTTTTCATACAACTCCTTGTTCACTTTCTCCCGTGCTTCCCTTACGACTTTCTTTGCTTGTCTTTTAGCCTCCCTGTATGCTTCTATGTTCTCATCACTCCAATTTGTCCCCAACTTTTTGTAGCAATCTCTTTTGTTCCTTATGGCTTGTTTCACCTCATCATTCCACCAAGATGTGTCCTTTTTAGGTGGCCGACATCCTTTAGATTCTCCAAGTATCTCCTTTGCCACTTTGTTAATGGTCAACTCCATTGATAACCACACATCATCCACCTGTGTTTCATTATCAATACGCCATACATCTTCACCGACCATTTTGTGTGTAAAGCTTTGTTGAAGATCTCCCTCTAGCCTCCACCACTTTATCTTTGGCTCCACTTGTTGTTTAACTTGTCTTCTATGGTTCTTACCTCGAAAGTCAAGCACAAGCATCCTATGCTGGGTGACAACACTCTCACCTGGAATAACCTTACAATCGGTGTAGCTAGTTCTCCCAGTGGTCCGTACTAAGAAGTAGTCAATTTCTTGGTGGAATGATACAGTATGATAAAAAAGATAATGTAAAATAGAGAAAAGATATACATTAAAGTGATAAAATAGAAATGATAAAAGGAATATATAAAGGGATCACATACAAACTAGTCCTCTCATAATAACTTACAAATTGTCACAAATTGTGCATCTTTACATTATTTGTATTGCATATTGAAGTTCAAAGTGTTGCATATTATTTGTAAAATCATGCTGAAATAGTCACATTCAATTGTCCCTGAAAGAGTCACCATATTGAAATGTCAGACTCATATTTCGGAGATTGTAAATGTCACCCCTCAATTGTCCAAATTGATTTTAATGTGGTCCTTTGAGGGGTGAAATGTACTTCTCATTCAGATTGTACATTTCACTCCTCAAAGGACCACATTTACAGCAATTTTGATAATTGAGGGGTGACATTTACAAACTCGGGAACACGAGTCTGACATTTCAATATGATGACTATTTAAGGGACTAAAAGTGCGATTTTCTCTTATTGGTATTGCATATTAAAGTTAAATGTGTCGCATATTATTTGTATTGCATATTGAAGTTCAAAATGCTGCATATTATTGAGTTTGTAAGTTAGTATTTTAAGCATAGTTTGTATTTGATCTCATATATATATAAGAAGATAAAGGATAAAGAAACATAAGAATGAAAAAGAAGATAAAAAAGAAAAAGAGATCAATCCGCCACACGAATGCCCGCCCTCCATTTTGCTCTCTCCAAAGTCATACCCTCATCTAGCCCAAAAAGAAGCATATCACTCGTGACTCTTCTAATTATGTTTGGGTACTCTCCCTCTCCTCCTCGCCTCTTCTCCACAGCTCTCAACTCATCTAGCGGGTACATCACTCAATCTTCTACGCACATGACCAAACTACCGAAATCGACTCCCGCATCTTATCTTCGTTAGATGTTACACCCACCTTTTGTTTGATCGTCTCATTCCTCAAGCAGACTTTTCTAGTATGTCCACACATCCAACGCAACATGTGCATCTTTGTCACAATCATTTTTTTAATGTGACATTGTTTCATTGTCCAACACTTTACGCCATACATTAATACAGACCTAATTGAAGTAGAATAAAATTTGTCATTCAGTCTAGTCAGCAAACCTTGATCACATAGAAATTGTGACGCACTCTTCCACTCATCCACCTTGTTCTGATTCTATGAGATAATGGGATACATCTCCGTCTAAATCACTTTCGTTCTGGATTATGGATCCAGAAAACGGAACATATCACTAATGGTATCTCCTTACCATCTAGAGTAATTCCACTATTTTAACTACTTCTGCTTCCACCAAACTTGCATTTCATGTACTCAATCTTGCTTCGACTCAGATTGAAAATCTTATTATCCAATATTTGTCGCGTTACTTCTACAAACATCATGTACCACCGCATATCATATTTAATTTGTGTAAGTTCATCCATGATTATAGCAAATAAGAAAGGACTCGGAATCAATTCTCAGTGCACTCTGATAGTAATAGGAAACTTTGTCGATCTCCCTACACTAGTACGGACACTTGTAATACTATCTTAATACATATCCATAATGATGTTGATATAATTAGTGATATGCCTTTTCTGGTTAAGGCCCCCCAAAAGACTTATAGAGGTACCTATCATATGTATTTTCTATGTCAATGAATACCAAATGCAAACCCTTGTTTGTGCCTCAATACAAGTCGCCTAGGAATGTGAATGACTTCAGTTGTTTAGCGACTATGCATCAAATCGAATCGATTCTCTGAAATTTTCACACATCTTCAGAGCCTTTGCTAAATAACTCGATCCCAAAGTTTCATGATGTGACTCATAAGTTTAATCCCTCGATAGTTGGCACATTCTTGTACATCATCTTTATTCTTAAATAAGGAAGTAAAAGTACATTTCCGCCAACTTGCTAGCATGTTGTTGTTTCTCCAAATCTTGTTAAAGAAACATCAAAGTGCACTCATCAAATTAGAAAAATAAAGCATATGTTTATAACTCTACAATATATTAAGCTTGTGTACACCGGCCAATATCAAAGTTTACTTATTTCAAATTTTAGATAGTTCTTATTTTAGAGTTGTCATAATTCTTTTAATCAGAATGAGTTACGACTCATAATATATTAAACAAAATTGGTATTTCAACCCACGTGCTGGAAAAACTTTCAGAAGACAACTGCTCACCCTTACCCCAATTCCGCCCTTGCTTCTAGGCCTCAACAAAATAAATATTGCAAGAAAAAGGTAAGAATCTACCATGTGGTGACCCGTTAAGCAGCTGAATTTCGTTAGTTTTCATACATTTTTTAATTTAAAAAAAAACAGTAGTGACTCTTGTTTCCCACGTGTTCCTTATTTAGACTTGGATTTCTCTCCTTAAAGAGTTAAAATGACCTCAAAATGAAATTCGTGTTTAGGCCTACATAACTAGATAGGTGTTGGATGGGACGTCTGAGCTCAAGAATAACGAAATTATAAAAATATTCCCATACGCAAAATAAAAAACAGTGAGAAGTATATAAAAGCAGACCTCAGACGACTCAGATGCATTACAATGAAATGCCTCGGGCCTAACTGATTCTGAGATATTCTCTGACAGACGTTTGCTAACAAATAATCTTGATTTCCCTCCTGAAATCATCCACCCAAATTATGAAAATTACACCTTTACCTCAGGAATTAATGCATTTAAAGGGAAAACATAAACACTAAACCTGAGAAGTTTAAAGGTTTTCCTGGAAAATAATCAAACTGGGAGTGGAATTCAAGCTTTTGATTGAGAGGCTTCAGGAATGAGAGCTGCGCGTTTTTACAGCCCTGGTGGTAGCGAGGTTGAATGAGACCGCCAGAAAGAAGCATCCTTTTTGTCAATTTCTTAGAAAAAAGTGATTGTGGAGAACGAGCGAATACGGCAGGTGAATAAAATCTTAGAGAATATGGTGTAAAATTTGGCTTCTCCGACTCCAAGTTAAGTGGGAAGAAAAAGAGTAGGGCAAAAGACGTGGGGTTTGGAGTGAGTTAGCTCCTCTGTGGTCTGTACGGTACGACATTAAAGCCTGTGACATTTTCTTAAATTAGTATTTCACCGGTGCGTTGCAAGGAGTAAAAATTATTTTATGAAATATCAGTGTTGTGTTGTTTATGATAATATTTTAAGAAATAGAAAAAATTAGTATTAGTAGTATCGTGTTTATGATAATATATACTTCTTCCGTTCTTAAATAAATGAAACGGTCAACAGTTGACATTTGCCAAGACACAACTTTGACTATTAATATATATAATTCTCTATTAGTAAAAAAGCTAGATTTCAAAAATTTACAATGAGACAAATTTAACAATATTTTTTTTCAAAAAAATAATATTAATACACTAATAAATAAAATGTGATTAAAGTAGATCATGTGAATAATGTAAAATTCAACATGTTACATTTATTTAAGAACGGGTGTAGTATTAAGAAACGAATACATTTAGTATATGTTGTTTATGATAATATATTAAGAAATTGATATGTTATTCATATAACGTCGCTAATGGTGTTACATACACGGAAAAGCTAAGATGTATAGTGGCATGAGAAAAAAAGCAAACTTTAGAATAAAAAGTCACTTAATATACAATAAAATTTCCCAATCAAGTAAATATCTAGCTAATAAAGAGAAACTTAATTAAATAGCAGCAAAACATAATGTAATTTCAAAAATAAAGTTCAAAGACACATACTCTGAAAAGTTGTTATTGTTTAAATTTTGAATTTTGAGTACTCAGTTTCACTTGACTAACGTGTGCACAAAATGGATATCGCAGACACAAACTAAAGGCATATGAAATATGAAAGAACTTTACATTCTAACAGTTTTTTCATTGTACTCACGAAACTATCTTAAACTTAATTAATAATTTAAACCAATCCATGTATACACATAAAATAAAATCAAGTTTTCTTATCTAATTGTAAATACAAATTTATGCCAATGACATGAGTAAATGTATGCAGATGGACTTAATTACAATTCTCATTCATCACATAATATTTTTTTCTGAAGTCATATAAACGAATACCATAAAAGGATCAACTTGTACTTGAATTTCAAATAAAAAACTACTCTTTCCTCCTCTAATGTGCACGACTTTAATACTATACGTATTTACTATCAAGAAACATGATATTTGAACACATCTCAAGAATTTAATTCCCACCCATCACATTTTCCCTACACATCTGATGGATTATAGGGAATTTCTCTCTTCAATAGAAATTCAAAACTCTTTTTTATTGCAATCCATAGACTAAATCTAGAAATTCCTAGTTAACATGTAATAGAGTAGTACATCTTCACTTACGTGAAGCATGCATCTAGCTACATCCTCACGCAGAAAAGGCACGCCACTTGAGAGAGCATGAGCATCGATGTCTAGTGAGCAGCCTCAAACCACGCAACACTCTTCACTTTTTATTGGGATCGATCTATATAATGGAAAACGAAGAAGCTTGAAATTGTTGGTCAACACCGAGTTCATCACGATCGTGATTACCCGGCCCTGGATATTTACAGTGAGGGAGCTCATGGACGACGAATGAAGGTTCCCACGCGACATTGCACTTTCAATGTCACTGTGGGACACCCGACCTGGACACCCTATTTCAGCGGTCTCCGACGTCCTTGCCCGGACTACAATCATGAAACAACTAACGAATGGGGGCGGCCGGTGGTGTTCCTGCAGGCGGACCCGACGGCTTGTTAATTAAGATTTTAGGCACTGAACAACCCAATGGTTGCATAAGTACGTTGATATATATACCCAAATGTCTGAAATCGATAAGTATACTTCTTAAAATATTACTACGCACATGGCCCTAAATCTATACATTATTACTCCCAAGATATCTAATGCATGTTTAAGGCACTACATTGACAAATGGAAATGGTTGATTTCTTCAAAGCATTATTACTCACTGTTTTTTGGTCTAGAGCATATTACAGGAACTACTTCACTGAGATTCTCAAGAACAATAATTACATCATTGAGGCTGCATATTCCTAGCCTGGACTCTTTTTGGCGGGGTCTTCCTCAAGAAGATTCCTTTTGCTATTATATATTAATAGATTAGCATTAATGACTTAATGTACGGATAACATCAAATCTATTCTATCAAGTACAAAAGTATAATCATGAACATGGTGATATCGACTTCATATCTTATACGTAGTAATTCACTTTGCTTTCTTATTTTTTAAAATATCTACAATGAACACGTATGTATCCAATATGTAAATTTATTACTCTCTTCGTCCCTAAAAGAACTTCCAACATTTTCTTTTTGTTCATCCCAAAAAGAACTCCACTTTTTATTTTTGGTAAAGAATTTGTGGTCCACAACAATTCTTACACATTCTTACGCATTTCTCTCTCCTCTGTACAACTCTACAGCACACAATACTTATTTTCTTAATTTGTGTGTCATTCGTACTATGGAAGAACTTTTAGGGACGAAAGGAGTATAATATTATGAAAGAATGACCTCTATATGTGATGGATCGTGTACCCGGGGTAGCTTATCCGAGGGGTTATCGTGGAGAATAATTAGAGAGAAGTCAGAGCAAACAAGTAAGAGATAGAGTATGTATTTGATGTGAATTCAGTGTGATCTTCAATGGGGAAAAGGGGGACTATTTATAGCAGCAATAAATGCTAGACAGGGACACGTGTCAAGCATCCGACGGCCGAGGGTTATCTCAATCGAGGTGACACCGGCACTCGCATGTGGCCGCATTAAATGTGGTGGTTGGATGTGACGTCGTACTTGGTACGGTGATTCAGACGCATGTGGAGAGGAGATTCTGTCGAGGAAGGTGTCTTCGGCTGTAGATGATAAGCCGAAGGCTCTTCATACCAGGGGCCTCTCAGTGCCAAGGGCCCTAAGTGCCGAAGGCTACTGATTTCGCCGTTTTCTCCCAGTAGTTTCGTATGCCCAAATTTGAGTGAGAGTGTGTGTTTCAAATACCTTAAGCAACTCCTTGGCCGCTTCCTTGTACTGTTTCATCCTCCCTTCCTTGGCTTCATACTCCCCCGAAATTTGGCTGACGACTAACTTGGAGTCACACTTCACATGGATCTGTATGGCCTTCATGTTAGCAGTCAGCCGAAGGCCACAGAGGAGGGCCTCATACTCCGCTTCGGTGTTGGAGACTTTGAAGGAAAAGCGGATGGCATAATAGGCGCGGAGGCCTTCGGGTGTAATGAGAACTACCCCTCCTCCGCATGCTTTGGTAGCAGAGGAGCCATCGGTATAGAGGGTCCACCATTCATCCGAGGGTACCGAGGGCTCCTCATCTACTGCTGACCTTGCCGTGCACTCCGTCACAAAGTCCGCCAGGGCTTGGCCCTTGATGGCCGGCCTCGGGCGGACGTCGATGTTGTATTGGCTGAGGAAGATCGCCCATTTCACCATTCTAGAGGAGCTGATGGGGCTCCTCATGAGGGCGCTGAGGGGTTGATGTGTGAGCACTTGGACTGAATGGGCTTGGAAGTAATGGCCCAACTTCTTGACGGTCCAAATGATGGCTAGCACCATTTTTTCCACGGGAGAATACCTGAGTTCCGCCTCCCTGAGAGTTTTGCTAACATAGAAGATGGCATGTTGGATGTCGTCTTCCTCCCGAATTAGCACTGAGCTGATGGCAGCGGAGCAGACGTCAAGATAGAGGTATAGGGTTTTCCCTACCTTGGGCTTGGAGAGCACAGGGGGTGAAGATAAGTACCGCTTCAGTTCTTCAAAGGCCACCTGGCACTCAGTAGTCCATTGGAAGTCGGTGGTCTTCCTCATGATCTGGAAGAAGGGTAAGGACTTCTCCGCCGATTTGGATAGGAAGCGGTTGAGGACTGCCAGGCGGCCCGTCAGCCTTTGGATTTCCTTTTTTTGGATAAAATGTAAATATATATCCAGAAAAATAGCATAGTACAATGCATCACAAATACAATCAAAGTGCATATCCACAAACTCAGGACACCACAAAATCAAGAACAACAATATCACAAATCAACATTTTGGATCCAAAACATTAGGAACCAAAAACACTCACAAAAGTTCTCCCAAATCGACATAATAATCCTAAAAAGCTAGGAGCAATAATAAGCTTAAGGAAAGCAACATCAACAAAGAAATTGGTTTCTAATTTAAAAGCCAAGGAAAAATCGGAAAGGTTTAGTGAACTTCGAATCAAAGCGAACCTCCCCTTTCCTCTTTGTAACACCCGACAAGCCCTCAAGACATTCAACGGTAAAAGTGAGACCCTTTTTATCCAAATCATCTGTAAGTCGAAGGAAATTGTCCACTCGAATCACATTAGTATGCACGGATTTAAACGGTTTGACAAACAACTTGAGTGTCTTGCCGTTTATCACCTCACATTTTATAACAACATCATCTAGCTTCACATCTTTTTTATCCAAGACGATCCTCTCACCAACATCCAAAGAAATTTCTCCAACTTCAGAAGAACTGCCTGCAGTAGCTGCTGGAACTCGGGGAACAGCCTGGTGTTTAAGCCCGGTCAGGTGAGGAGAGGACCTGGTCGGGTCTCCCCCCTGGGCAGACAGTTTGGCTTGTGGCCCGGTCGGTTTCTGGGCCAGCCCGATCGGGTTAGGTCCCTGGGCAGAGTGTGGCCGAGCTGAATCAATTCCAACGTCTTCCATTTCATCAACTACAACATCAAGTTTCTCCTGTTTCTTATCTACCCCAACCCCACAATTTGATAGCTTCTTACAAATAAATGGGTGGTGCCCAAATTCTTTGCAATGAAAGCAATAACTAGGAAAAGTTTCATAAACCACACTTTGTTTGATTACCTTTTGGGAAGGTAGTCGTATAGGGAATGAAAGTGGCGGTGGCTTTGAGATATCAACCTCTATCAACACTCTAGCAAAGTCGTTGTTAATCCTCTCTTGGGTGATTTTATCGGTAGTTATAGGAACCCCCACCATGGATGCCACTTCACTCATGGCCTCATCATTCCATAATTGCATA